AACCTTGGGAAACCAGTGTCGGCTTTCTTTGCCATGGGAAGTGAGAACTGTGTGTCCTGCTGTGGGATCCCCTTGTTGGCCCTTGTTTGTTTTCCCACTTTGTGTGAGGAAGAGTATTTGTCTGGCCACACCTCCTGGCTTGTCATTGCCCACCTTGCACAGTCTTCTCACTTAAGCTCCTTTCTGGAACAAATAGGGCTGATATTGTGCCTGCTTGGAGAAATAAATGTTGACTCGCTGGGTTTGTTATTCTCATTGGGTTTTGGTGTGGTTTATTTTTTTCATTGGTACACAGACTCAGCAAGTTGCCAGGAAGTGTGGTGCTTATATGATCGCTCAGGAGAATCAAGATTCTTGGGTGTGTGACTCTGTTGATTTAGGATAAAAAAATCATGTTTTGGCACCACAACAGGTCTGCCGGTCTATACTGTGGTGCCCTTCTCTCCCTGAGGCAACAGTGATTTCTTAGGCAAAGACCCTTCCCCAGACAACATGTGATGCACATGGCTGCCGTCAAAATATGGAAATAGAAACTAGCAGGTAACAAAACACAGGTATCAAGAAAAACACACTAGTAAGCCAAATTTCAGCTTTTTTCTTTATCTTACTATGTTTCTGTCTCTCTGGCTTTGTTATGGTTTGCTTTGTTTCAGAAAGAAAAGGATAGGGGATCACATCAGGACTGTTTCCAAACAATACCTCAGTACATAGCATAGAAGGATGGTGCTTCTGATTTATTCAGACACTTTCTTCAGCCATGCCAGTTTGGTTATTTTGTGAGTGAGAGAAAAAAAAAGAGAGAATAATTTGACCCAATCACATTTGTATTTCAAAAGTTCACAAGATTTTAATTATAATTAATTTCATTGTAGTTCAGCTTGAGTATAGCAAAAGCAGAGAAGTATAATGACAAATTTTCTGAAGATTCAGTGCTTTGGGTATTGTGCTTGCTTGAAAATTCGTCTGTACCGTAGCAGACAGAATTCTGAACAAGCTTTGAACAGGATGCTTAATAAGTTGCCTGTGCTGTCAGCTTATGTGTGGCTTTTTTTGAATGATTGTTCCCAGGTTAGTCTTTGAAAGTTTGAGTCCCCAGGTGTGGTCATTTTAGTAAAATGTTTGAAGCTTTTAATTAACTTTAAGGAAAGATTTTTCTATGAGTACTAGGTATAAATCACTTGTTATTCTAATCAAGGGAGGTGTTGTGAGGTATATTTATCCAGCCAGAGATGCTGTAACAGAGCTTAAAATAAAGCAGTGTCCTCTTACATGTGCTGGGAATGGTAGATTCTGGAGGGGAGTGAGTGGTGTTTCTCCTGCTACAACCAGTCTCCAGTACTAAACCTTTCAATAGCACTAATGAGTTAAAAACATGCTCAAATGCCAGAGAATCAAACATGCGTAATTTTTTGACTCCTTGGCCCGTGCCTGGTCTGTGTCTTGAAAGTCTGCATGAAATGGAAAAGTTGTTCTATCTTTTCACTCTGGAGCCTGTAGGGAAGATCTGGCAGAGCTCTGGGAGGGAAGGTCCCATGACATCAGAACCTCCCTCAGTCACAAGATGAATTGCATTAAATGCTGGCCTGAGTGAGGCTGTAAGACTCCAGCAAGAGAAAATTGCTCTCTGAGGTTTGCTCAGTAATTTTGAAAGCTCTGACCGAAGAAATAACTGAAACGTAAAGTGAAATCTATGTGGAAATAGGATCCTGGAAAAGAATTACGGGAATTCATTGCTAAAGAGGATTGGAAATGCTGAAGCACCTCTCTTCTGCTTGGTCGAGATGATAAAGGCTTGCATTTTATTTTTGACTCTTACAGAATTGCAACTGTCGCAGAGAGGAATAATCTTCATTAGCCCAGTGGTCATCAAGGATATGAACTCTGCTGCTTTTATCTAGATGGAAGAAAAGATTAACAGCCCAGCCAGGGAGCTTCTTTGGTTTGCAAGATGGCAGCAACTAGTGGCGAAAGCCAGCTGCAGCGGATTATTAGAGACTTGCAAGGTACGTTGCTGGGCTGACAGATTCCTCCTGTGTCCCCTGCCTTTTAGATAGTGGAGGGTAGGAGCTGTGCTTCTGATTGTGTAACACATCTGTGCAGCAGTTGTAGCAACGTTGCTCAAGGTGTGCTATGCACTCAAATAGTTATGTGATTGATTTTTTGTTGGTTTTTATTTTTGAGAGAAGTTCTATATGTTTTGCAGGATCCTGTATTCTCAAATCCTGCAAATTTAAACTTTGTTGGCGTGAGCAGAGCCATGCTGTTACAGGACTTCATGTGGGAAGAAGCAGCCTAAATTTTAGACCCTCCCTTGATGGGAAGCTGGTGTGGAGTTGCTGCTAATATGGGAATGGAAAAAAAGCAAAACAAAACCCAGAAGGCCAAACCTTCTGGGCATGGAGACCCAGAGGAAAAGTGCTGGAGAGTTGGATCTGTTGGCCTTGCTGCTGTGGAATGTGCCTTCTCTTCACCCAACTTGTCCCTGGCTAGCAGTAACACTCATGTTCCACAGCTCTGTTGCAGGCATAATTGTCAGCACACTCGTAATTGTTTTACTGCTTTCTCTCTATCCTTTAAATTTTCATGAAATTTAAGGTACGATATGCACCAAACCTGGGAATCTAGATCTTCCTGTAACATAAAAAGGTGATCTATGTGCCTGTCAACAAGAAGACAATTTGCGAAGGAGATTGAGTGGGACTGGCTGCTAATGGTCAGTCAGGCACCTGAAAAAAGTACAAAACCAAGTGGAAACAGAGATTAATATCAGTAATTCCTGATGCTGAGAAGTGCATCCTTTTCGGGCCAGAGTATCCAGAGAGACCGCACTGTTTACTTGGACTTTCTTCACTCACTATGGGTGTAGGTTTTAGGGAACAGGAATTACTCTCTGCTTCTTTTGATGTAAATTATTTTTCCCATTTGTGTTTTGTAACCAGCACAAGCTGAACCTTCCAGAATAAAGCATGGAGAAGATAAATGTGCTGACCAAACAACTGTTCTCGTGTTACTGATCCCCTTTAGCAGATTACGTGCTTTGTCCTTTCTAATCAGAATTCTGTTTGTCCTGTGGCAATACCTTAATGTGCACATGAGACGGCAAAAAGTTATTTCTCTTTCCTCTGCTGAAGAACCACTTAGCAGTTTTGTGTTACCAGTTTTTACTAAGTGTCAGAAGGAGGTGTTTTGTCTTCTTTTCTAAGAGGAAGTCGGCTGTATAACAGATTGACATAACTTGAGTTCTGATTTTTTTTTCATAGATTGTGTGAAATTGCAACCATATCCATAAGCTTTTTGCACTGTTGTTAAGACAGTCTGAAAGAAACTGAATGGGCAGAAACCTCATTTACATAGTTGTTTATGGATTCAAGGCCATATATGTCTTGCATTCTAGTTAACTCTTTTGGTATCTTCTTTTAAAGATGCTGTGACTGAATTAAGTAAAGAATTTAAAGAAGGAGGGGAGCCAATCACAGATGACAGTGTCAATTTGCAAAAGTTTTCCTACAAGCTTGAATATCTTTTACAGGTAAAGAGTGATGTGTGTTGCTTGTAATCTACCATCAAAGCTAGGCCTTGTCTTCTCAACATGTGGGGTTTAGTTCGAAGAATCATAAATATCCAGTTGAATGTCTCTTTTTTTCCCCTCTGTATGTGAACTGAAGTGTGTTCTGCTTATTATAATTATCGCAAGCATAAGTAAATAAATGTAATCAAAAGACAGTGCTGACAGTTTAAGTGAAGAATGTAAGACATGTTTTGTTTGATCTAGAAGATTTGAGCTTGATTTTCAAGATGTATTTTGCTAAATTACCTTGGGAAAACAGTGCTAATGAGCTCTTGATGTTATTTTGATGCAAAATAATTACCAGTAAGCTGCTCAGAGTGCAAATGTAGTGGTGTGAGTAGTTTACAACATTTTTTTGCAATTTTGATTTGGAAATTCATTTTTATTGTATGGAAGGCTTTAAACAAAGGACTGGCTCTTAATCTGGAGCGCTGCTTGTAGCAGTTTTGAACGCATGTCTGTATTTTAGCTAGACCCAGAATGTTGTTATCTGTTACTGTCTGTAAAGTAGCTTTTGTAATTGCATCGGTGCAGTACAATGTCCCTTTCCTTTGTGAATACTTTGGCTAAAGCTAAGAGGAGTCATGAAAACACATGTTGCTGAGAGAGGACGGGAATTCCAGGTAGCTATAGAAGAGTGTATGTATATTTAAGTTTTGCTCATTGTGTTCTGTTTTCCTTGTATAAGTTTGACCAGAAAGAAAAAACCACGTTGCTGGGAAACAGAAAAGACTACTGGGACTATTTCTGTGACTGTCTGGCCAAAGTCAAAGGAGCTAATGATGGAATCCGCTTCGTCAAATCTATTACAGAAGTAAGTGTATCAGTTAAGCATCATAATAGCGATTTATGTTTTGGTATGTCTTTTCAGAGAGCAGCAGAAACCAAAGGAAAGCCTTCTTTTAACTGTATTGGCTTGTGGTTCAGGAATATGAACTCTTAAAAAAACCCAAACAGACATCAACTGTTTCAGATAACTGAGCTGACTCAGGTCCAGAACTTAAATGATGAAATGACAAATGACAGAAAAACATGTTATTGCCCTTCATGACAGGCAGAAATTAGCAGGCAGTTTTTGAACCCCGGCTGCAGAGGACATAAAGGTTTCCAAATGTCATGTATTTGTTCACTGTATTTGTTGACTTTCAAGGATGGAAATGAACAAGGAGGAAAGAGCAATGATAGTTGCTTTTTAAGAATGGTCAAGCATTTAGAGGACAGTGCCTCCACTTCCGCTTTGCCTGCATTGCTTCTGATATTAGGGTGCGCAATATGCCAAACAGGTGGGGCAAGGAAGCAAGTAGGAACAGGGAACTGCTCGGAACAAGAGAGCTTCGTCCTTCGCAGGTTGCTCCAAAGGGCGATTGCACTGAATACGCGTCTTTCCAAGTCTTTCCAGCCCTGTGTCGCACCTTAGCTACAGTGTTTGCAGTCAGCAGGGAAACGGTGACACCACCAGATGCTGCCTCCATGAATTCCAGCAGGGCCCTGGCAGGAGGTGGCAAGGCTTTGCTTCTTGGCAACTAGTCTTTGGCTACTTGTAGCTGCATAGAAATGAGTATTTTCCTCTACTTCTCCTCACATACATCTGTTCTAGTATCTCCATGTTTATAAAAAGACATTGCGGTTTAAATTGAAAAAAGAAAAGGGAAAGCTTGTGTGACCTTTGAGCCTTCTCTCACACTAACTTTCCAAACAAAATTTACAGTAACCTACTAACTTGGGCTTCAGCCCCTCTACCATTTTCCTCAGCTTCCATTTTGTGTCATGACACAAATATGTTGGGTTTGTTGGTCGGATGAGCAGTTTGGTTGGGAGCATGTCTGACTGGCGAGAAATTCTTTTCATGGCTTGCATTTTCCATTCCTAAAGTGATCTCTGATTTTACTGGAAAGAAGAAATGAAACACTACTGTTTAATGTTTCATGATTTTGTGGGACAGCAAACAGTTCAGATGTAAATCAGAAAACAAAACATAATTTCCCCAGTCAGTAACTGTAACAAAATATATTGCTGAGTTTTGTGGTCCTCGGCTTACGTTCATTTAACAGCTGTCTTCATAAAAAGATCCTTTAATTTTGGTTATGCAGCTGTTCTTGGTCTGAAATAAGAAGCAGATTTTTATTGACTTAACAGCTAAGTATTAAGAAAGGCTTTTTGTATCGTCTGAAGTTACTATGTCCATGGGGATGGGTATTTGTATTTGTGTCTATCTTTGTTCTATGACTAGAACTGCCCTAAAGCTCTTCCAGCTGTGGCCAGGTACCTCTTAAGTAACCTAAGCAGTCACTTCTGGCTTTGCTGGGCACGTTGAGGACTGGCCGGAATTGTCTTTACCACAGTCGGTACTCGTGTAACCTGTGTTTTAGATGATTCATTGGTCCTGTGATGCCCTTTGTATTATTATAAAGTGCACAACAGCCAGCTGTAGGTACAAACTTGTTATTCAGAAAGGAGTCTACCCCATGACAGTCTTTGGAGAAGGTGTCTCTCAGCGGCAGTTCTTACTATTTCCTTTGCAATTTGTGGCTTATTGAGTTTGTGTGTTGGTATGTAGACTGCCTGGACCCTGTCTCTCCATGGTTACAAACAGTATTTAGAATTTTCTTTTCTTTTGGTTTCTCCCTTCCAGCTACGAACATCTCTTGGAAAAGGAAGAGCAACTCCCTGGTTCACCAAAGGCTAGCAGACACCTTACAGCAATGTTTTATGAACACCAAGGTGACAAGGTGAATGGCAAAGTATCTCGTTAACTAACGGGTGTTTGCTCGGTGTGATCAAGCAACATCCCCTTGTAGCTATTGAAAGAAACTGAAACCCTTCCAAATGGTTGGCTTAGAGAGCTGGTAATAGGATACTAAGGATAATAGATCTTTTGGCCTGGTTTGTACCTATCTTAGGCTGGTAAAAATTGAAAGTTTTTACAGCTCAGTGTCTGTGAAGTGGGTGCTGTCAGTGCTTCCGTATCTTGGTTTCAAAGGCAACACTTTTCTAAGCATTGATGATTCTGGGTTTGATCTCCTGTGCTGTACATCATATGAGAGGATTATTTTGGATGTGTTGTGTAAAGCCCCCGACAGCGTTTGCGTACCCCTCTGGATTGTCACACAGAGGAACAGCTTGCCCCGGCCAAGGAACACCAAAGGTAGTTTGTAGTTGGTTGGAGGGGCACTTCTAGGGCTTTCAGAAAAAGCCAACTATTTGCACGGTGTATTTAGCTCTGGTGCTGCTTTCTGTCCCTTGTTTTGGATCTATTAACTGTGTGCTTTAGGTAGTGTGTGATTATCCTGTGTATAGCAAATATTTTGCCCTGCTGGTGTTTTTCCCAAGCACTAGAGGAAAAATTTTGTGCAGGGGCTCCTCTAAGGATATTTCCATGGAATTCATTGCAGCTGTTTAATTTCATGCACATCAAAGAGATGGGATGTTAGTTGGTGGGTCTGTTTGTTTTCAGTTTGTGTTTAGAATAGTGTATCATCGTTTTTCTGGGGTGGAGTGAATAATGATGTTGTGGGGGGTTTTTTGCACATGAAACTGCTGCTTCTTTTTTACTTTTTTTTTTTTTTAAATTTCTGCCTGTCTCCCCCAAGTGACTGGTACTATGCAAGAAGTCCATTTCTGAATTCCAGAATGAGTTCTGACATTGTGAGTCAACTCTATGACCTCACTGAAGTTCAGTTTGACTTGGCGTCAAGAGGCTATGATTTAGATGCTGCTTGGCCAGCATTTGCCAGGTAAGACAGGACCACTTTGTCATTTTGTAATAACTGGGCCATAAAATACCTGTCTGCTACAAAATCTGTGAAAGCTTCCGCTTTTGAATGTGGCAATACTTGTGTTAGAGCAGGCATATGCTTTCTCTGGGTAGTTAGTCCTTCAGTGCACTGTGTGCCAGAGATGACAGTGGATGCTCTGTAACAGAGCGCTTGCAAGAACTGCAGTCTAGGCCTAAATCTGAAGCTACTCTCGTCTTCGCAGGCACAAGAGGAAAAGTTCTTGGTTCTTGGTTCTTCTGTTTTTACAGCTGAGAGAGGGAGGGACTGATTCACCAAGCAGTCTGCTTTGCTTGCAGCAGAGTAGAGGTGACAATATGTGGCCACTACAGCCTGATCCCACCTCAGAGCAGAGGGTGGATAGCAGAACCTGGCGGGATCCCAAAACCTGCTGGGTTTGATCCAGAGCCGGTTGTGTCAGTGGGAGTTTTGCAGGGCCGTGTGCTGCCACCGTCTGGCTGAGCCATCCCCGCTCAGCAATGCAAGTTCTCAGAGCAACGCTGCACTGGCCTTTGTGGTTGTGGGAACTCTTGCTACCAAGCCCATCACATTTGAGTAGGCACCTTTGATATCACTGGTTTGTTTTCCACCCAGTTTGGTTGTTGGCCTTGACAGCAGGTGCACTTTTGTCTTTTTGTGCGTGGTGGTTACAGCTAGATAAATCTTACATGTAAGAATAAAGTCATGTATGTGCTTGGACTTCTCTTACATGTTGTTTCTTTGTGTGATCAACAGGAGGACTCTGTCCTCACTTGGATCTTCAGCATATTTGTGGAAGCCCCCAAGTCGCAGTTCCAGCATGAGCAGTTTAGTGAGCAATTATTTGCAGGTAAGCAGATCACAAATAAATGTTTATATGGCGTGGTAGATCTTTAATGGCATATTCCAGAGTGTTTTGCAGATTTATGGCGATTGTGACTCTTATAATGGCAAACTACAAAAAGAAGTATTAATCAAAAGTAAAGGGAATTGTCTATGCGTGTTTAATACTTCTTAAACTTTCTGATTTTTCCCTTCTGTTTATTTAGGCCCAGGAGTTTCCCTCCAGCCCTGATGCAAATAGCTCACTAAATGTTGAACACCTCGAAGGCTTTGAAGAGATGCGTGTGGAACTCGACCAGGCTGAGTTGAGACAGAGGGAACTTCAAGACCGCATTCACCAGCTAGAAATGGAAAACCAGCAGCTCCAGGCAGCTGTCAGCCTTCAGAAAGAACAAGTGCAGGTAGAAAAAGAGAAGAGCAGTAACTACAGTGAAGAGAACTCCCGGCTGGCAACGATGATCATGGAGTTACAGAAGCAGTGTGAGGTCTTGCCCTCCACTCAGAGCGCTGTTCATGACCTGCAGAAGTGCCTGCAGTCACTGGAACTGAACACAGTGGAGCAGCAGAAGGAACATTCAACAAAACTGGATTATCTGGTGAGCAGCAAGGAAGACTGTGCTTCAAAACTGCACGTGTTGAATCAGGAGCTGGAGGCCTCTAGGTCTTTGGTTGCTATGAAGGATCTTTGCATTGATGAGCTCACAGCCAAGCTGAGTTCCACTGAACAGAAGAACTTTGACGTCCTTTCAAAAGCTGATGCTGCCTGGGAGGAAAAGGGACAGCAAGCCATGGCCCATGTTGACTCTGCCCTACAGATACGGGTACTTCTGGAAAAGCTTCAGGAGACGGAAAAGGAGAAGGCAGATATGCAAAGACTCAATGAAGAACATGCGTCTCAGCTGAAAGCAGCAAGGGAGGAGCTGCAGCTGAAAGAAGAGGCACAGAAGGAACTGGAATCCAGATACAATCGCCTTACTGCTGACTCCAAAGAAGAGAGTGAAAAGCTACTTGGGAGCCTGGAAACCATTGCAAAGGAAAAGGATGCACTTCAGAAGGCCCTAACCCTGAAAGGAAAGGAGATGGCTGAGCTTCAGACCCAGGTAATGGGGTCGCTGGCTCAGGTGGGGTCACTGGAAAAAAGTCTTGAGGAAGCAAGGAAAGAAAAAGAGAAACTTGAGGAGGAGTATGGTAGGAGGGAAGGAGCATTAAAGCAGAATGCCCAGTCGCAAGCAGAACGACTTGAAGTACAGGAGGGCCACTTAACAAAGGTGAGTCAGACTGTGCTTAGCCTTGAGGAGCAAAACCAGAAACTCTTATCCGAGAAAGAGCATCTTGGCCAGAAAATCAAGGAGTTGGAGGAGGAGGTGGAGCAGCAAAACTCTGCAATGAGCGAAGTGGTCAAGGAGAGCAGGAAGCTGAAAGCAGAGAACACGGATTTGCAGCAGTCCAAGAAGAAGATGGAAGGGAAGCTGCAAAGTTTGGAAGCTTCTAAAGCTTCTCTGGAAGCTGAGGTAGCCAGGCTGAGAGCCTCTGAGAAACAGCTTCAGAGTGAGATAGATGATGCCCTGGTATCAGTTGATGAAAAAGAGAGGAAGCTCCGGAGTGAGAACAAACAGCTGGATGAAGACTTGCAGAATGCCAGGAGGCAAAGCCAAATTCTGGAGGAGAGATTAGAGGCTCTGCACTCAGACTATGAAGAACTAAAACAAAGAGAAGAGACCACCAAGGAGTCTTACGCCTCCCTCGAAGGAGAGCTGAAGAGTGCCAAACAGCATAGTTTACAGCTGGAAAAAAGCTTAGGCATCCTGAAGGAAAGCCAAGAGTGTCTCCAGTCGCAACTCACAGAGAGGGAAGTAGAACTACAAGGCATGGAGAGCCAGTGTAAGCAGCTAAGCGCAGAAGCTGAAAAACATAGGAAGAAGGCAGAGACTCTCGAGGTGGAAAAGCTCAGTGCTGAAAGGACGTGCCTTCATCAGACAAAGCTTATTGAATCCCTCACACTGGAGAAGGAATCACTGGAAAAGCACCAGCTACAGGAGGCAGCTTCTGTAGAGAAGGCGGCAAAAGAGCTGGCCTCCAGACTGACTGTGAGTGAAGAGCAGTTGGAGGTGAACCAAAGCGAAGTATCTAGACTGCAAGCAGAAGTCCTCGACCTGCGAGCCAAGCTCCAGCAGACCACCAGCGAGAGAGAGCAGATAAGAGGTGAGCTGGCAGTCACAGAGATTCTCTTGGGTGAGCAGAAGGCACTTGTCCAGCAGCTGAAAGAGCAAAGTGAATCACTCAACAGACAGCACGTGCAAGAACTGGTGCAACATAAAGAAAGAGAAGAAGTGCTGAGAAAAGAGCATGAGACAGCAGCCCATGAACAAATGGAGCTGGAAAATGATTACCTGAGCTTGAAGGAAGAGTTTTCCAAGGTTAAGCAGTACTTGGAAGTTGCTAGAATGGAAAATGAAGAAAACAAAGATCTCCTGCACAGGACCAACACGGATATGGCTGAACTTGGTATTCAGCTTTGTGCCTTGACCTCTGAAAAAGTGGATGCAGAAGAGAACCACAGAAAGGCTTAAAGAAGTGGAACAACAGGCAGCAGAGCAACAGGAGAAGCTGGGTCTTGACATCTGTAATCTCAGGCAGGAGAACCAGAGGCTGCAAGAGAAATTAGAGGAGGCTCAAATATGTGCTGCACCTGTCCCAGGTCTGCAGTTGCAGCTGGAGACGGTAAAGAAGGAGGCACAGAGCTTCCAAGAGACCAGCCAAGAGGAACTGTCTGCAGTAAAATTTCAGATGAGCACAGAAATTCTAAATTATCAGACAAAATTCAAGGTAAATTAATGTGATTGTTCTAGCTGAGGGAGCTATGCAAGATTTCCCCCGCTTTACCGTCTGCTGCAACACTTACTGCATGAAACCCTAAGGTTTGTATTGGGCAAGCTCCAAGACTGGCCTGCAAGTGGCCGTAGCCTGGGAATCTGAAAATGCCTCTGCACTCATGACCTAGGCCTATCTTAAGTAAAAGAACTCTTCAGAGTTTTTGGAGCTCTCTAGTGTGGCCATCCAAGCACAGCGATGAGGCCAGAGTATATGGAAAAGCCAGCCAGAAATGGAGAGCGTGATGATTTCTTACATTGGCACTGAAGCTGGTGTCTTCTGTAGTTGTTCCGTCAGGTCTCAGCTGTGATTTTTTTAATTCTTTTTTTTTTTTTTTGGTAGAAACATTGCAAGACCTGTTCCCCACCCCAAAACGCTACCTCTCTTTAGACTGGCTTCGCTGAAAGCAGACTTAGGCTGAGACCAGGCACTTCTGCAGTTAATTCCCACGTGTATTTTTGGTTATAACTGCTCAAAGTAGCAGCCAAGATCAAGGTTTTGCTTCCAGAATAGAAGTGAATCAGCCCTGTGTATGTGAAAGAGCACTCTGTAAGGTGGAATATTTTATTGTGCTTGTTTTGCCTTTCCGAGATAGTGTCTAAGACTGGCAGCTGATCAGAGGCTTATGGCACTGCTGCTGCCCAAAATGCCATGAGTGCGGGGAAACAGCGTACGTTCATTTAGGTTTCATTTCGTAAAGGCTTCTTGAAGCTCAGTGTGATTTGGGCTAGCTCACTCTTTTGAGCCAAAGCATTTTGCAAGCTGGGCCTTCTGCTTGTTGAGAACTTCAATAGCCTGGAGCAAGTAACAGTCAAAGATGGCTCATCTGCCACCTTGAGCCTGTGAGCTGGGTGCTCCTTCAGCTGTCTCTCATGACAGGAAGACCACTCATGACCCACAGCTGGGAATTCTGGAGATGAAGGGGTGGCTGCTAGAGCAATGCTAACTCCTGCCTCCTTCTCTCTGCCAGGCCCTCAGTGAGGAGTGTGGGAAAGTAAGAGAGCAACTCCAGGAGCAGGAGCAACAGCAGCATGCTGTGGAGGAAGAGATTGCGGAGTTACAAGTAGGTGCTTGATCTGATTAAAAGGCAGAGGTGTTCGTGTCGGCAGACATAAACCGAGAAGGCAGGCAGCATGGTTACACGACATGGTTACACGGACACTTCTTAAATAGTGCAGGTTTCAAAGCCGTCTGGCCTGGGCCCTGCATGCCCACTGCATGCAGCCACGTGTGGGGAGCAGGCTGCAAGGGGTGCTGAATCAGAGAATTAATCTGGCTGAGAAGTAACCCAGCTGGAAAACCACAGGATTTTTACCGTGTGTTTATCAAACAGTTGACTTAGGAGGGTTGTACTGAGGTGTAAGGAATCCAGAAAGAAGAAAGTTAAGGTTCTTGAGCCTGGCTGTGCCTGCTAGCAGAAATATGTGCCTTTAGGTGGCTGGGTATGTTCCCTGAGGACACTGCATTTGGCATACTTCTCAGCTAGCTGTGAAAGAAGATTTTGTGTCCATGGTCCTTCATGTTCTATGTAGCTTTAATAAACAACATTTTCCTCACTTTAAATTCTTTTTTTCTTCTGAAACTTGTAGGTGGTGAAAAGAACTTCAGGTGTGTTCTCTTGCCATTGTATTGGAAAGGTTCTCCTTGATAAGGGGGCAAAAGCTCAACTGACATGGGCTAATCAGAATTACAGGCTTAACACTGTCTATCCCTTACTCAGTGTGACAGAAGTCATCAGTCACTAGTACACAACTAATTAGCATCTGCTTATACAGTAATATAGTAATCGGTGGTTTGGGTTTAATTGATTGTTTTAAAGCATTGGTTAGATGTCTTCATAATGGTCCAGTGCTTGGTAAAGTGTTGGTTTTATGTGTAAAGAAATGTGGTCATTTATTTCTCTAGGCTGAAAACACGAGTTTGTCTAGAAAGCTGGATGAAGCAAGAGAGCAGCTGTCTGAGTCGGAATTGGCTCGGCTGCAAAAGGAGAAGGAGGTGTCGTCGCTGAGAGAACTCTTGGAAAGGTGGGAATTTTGGTTCTTTACACAAGCTGTTAATTGTAAGCTAAGCAAGAGGTCAATAACCAAAGCCTATTGAAAAATGCTGTGGTTTATGAAGCAGCGTACACTGCAGGGTTTATATGGAGCAAATACTGCATGGGCACTGACTGAGAATGTCAGATTGACGTTTCGGATGGGCAATATGTAAATTATCCAGCACACATGGATGCGAGGCTTAGGTTTTCTCGTATTGTTAGTTTAGCTGATGATGTAAATTTATTGTATGTCTTCCTTTATGAAACAGAAAGACATTTTATAACCTCCTTTTACCTTACAGGTTAGTCACAACATTAAAACACCAATATGGTCTGTCTCCCTTTTCCTGTAAGGAATGAAAAATCTGCGCTTCTTGACAGATTTTTCTCCCCTCTCTGTGAAGTTTCAGGGAAAATCAGTGAGAATCATTTGCTGAATCAAGAGAGGCGTGCTTCCTGCATGCCTTTTTCAGGTTTCTAATCAGTTTTAAGCATCTAACACAGGCTGTGTTTCCAAGGTCTGTAACATGGGCCTGTGTGGTGTGGGATTATCTGGCAGTCTGCAATAGGTCTTTGCAAGGCATGGACTCACTGAGAGATTTTTACTTTTTTTTGTGCTGAACACCGTCTGTCTTTGTGAGAAGACCGATGATTTCTGATCTGTGCTGGAGGCTGTCAGTACAAAACCTAACAGGAGAGATTCTGGCTAGCTATAAAAAATAAGCACAGTTAGAAGAGTTGCACTAAAACTACCTGTTTGTCAGGGTGGAAAGCCCCTTTTCTTTCAATAGGGAAGACCTGAATGCACATGAGCTGAAAATTATTCTTATTTGTATTTGTATTTGATCAGGATCCAAAAAGAAGCTGATGAAGCAAAGGAGAAGGTTCTGGATTACAGTGAGAGGCTCAGCAAGGTGGCAGCAGACAAAGACAGCAGTGACCAGAAGTTACTTGCTGAACTGGACGACCTGACGAGAACAAAACAAATTCTTGAAGAACGCTTAATAGAACTTATCAGGTTGGCATCAAAATAAACAGCAAGCAGAAATTAAAGTTCTGGCTTAGGATGTTAAGGGATATTGCCTAGGTGATTCAGTCTTGTATCCCTGAATTGAAGATACAGGTAATATCCAAATCAATCAGCAATTGAAATTTTGTATTTTGATAATGCGGCCAAAGATATAACACGCGATATTCTCTCCTTCTTAATTTGCTGTATGTTTTGCAAAAATATATAGTTCTCTGCATGGCGTATATTTTTCTTTCCTCCTTCCCAAGAGGGAAGGTGTGTTCCTTAAGCTGTCTTCATTTCTGAAAGCTCCTCAGAAGTTACAGCAAAGCCGTGTTTGGTGGTGAAGCTTTCACCAGCATTCAAGTTGAGGTTGGTTAACAGTGAACCAGCGCTGACAGCTTCTGTGTGTTTTTTTTCTTCCCTTTCACTCTGTCTCTGCAGGGATAAGGATGCTTTGTGGCAAAAGTCAGATGCTCTGGAGTTCCAGCAGAAGCTTAGCGCTGAGCAGAGGTGGCAAGGGGACACCGAGGTTAATCACTGTCTGGACTGCGAGAGGGACTTCTCATGGATGGTGCGCCGGCACCACTGCAGGTCAGTTTGTTGGGCTCCGTTACGCTGTTCAGAAGCAAATTCAGTATGGTCGTTTACACAGGTGAATTCTTTCTGGTCACGGTTCCTTGGTCAAAATCGTGGCTATGGGATGTTGCGGAGCCTGAAAGAAGACACGAGCTCACAAGGGGATAAGAGACATTAATGGAAAGGTTCCTCACCAGGTGTTAGGGAAAAGGCTGGGGGCAACTCTGAATTGGGGAGTCTGTCAGTCTCGTTTCTGGAAACAAAGAGAATCGCCCCCTGCGTTGTGTGTTTCTTTGAAGGACTGTGCTTCTAATGTATTTGTTGTGCACTGCTCTGTGCATGCTCTAAACCAGATTCACCAAGATGGTTTTGCTATCTGATAGAAGTATTGCAGAACAAATCCAACCTGCTGCGCAGTTACAAATTTGGTTACTTGCGCTAGGTATGTTAAGAGATAATTACTGATAGCAGAGTAATCTCTTTTTTTTAAGTCATTATTAAATTATTTCCTATACAGTTAGCCTCCTTGGAGTTATTAGTTACCTGATCTGGATTTATTCAAATGTATTGAAGCGGTTATATTTCAGGGTCTTAGTGACATGTTTCTTTTCGCTCTTTACTGTTCTTTATCCTCATGAGCTGATTCATCATATAACATGTGTAGTACGGGGATTGTTTCATTTCTCTGTGAATGTAGGGAACACTTGATGAACAGAGAAGTAATTTCTGGTAACACCTTCCAAATTCCTAATTTCTACTACAGTCTGTGAAACTCGCTCCTGTTTTCACCTATTAATGATTTAAATGATTATGAACAATGAAAGTTCTAAAGCTTAAAAAAGAAGTCATCTCTGCTGGATGCTTCTCTTAATGAAAATGAAAAATGCTTCTAATAAAGCCGTTGACAGGTTTAATATCGAGAGACTGCAGAGCAGAGACAGTAAGAGGGATGAATCTGTGTGTATACGTGTCAAGTATTTGTTTCTCTTCCCTATCTGAAGGGAGAAAGGGAGATTACTAAGTAGAGGCATGTAGACATGTTCTTACAGTCCTTACAATCATGGAGAGTTCTGCTTTAAATGAGTCTGAAATTTAGCCTTTGTAAATAAGTACATTTCCTGCATATGTACTTCAATAATATAGATGTTATTTACTTGCTTATTTGTAGGTGTTTAGTACTTTTAAGTTTTCATATTTAAAGCTGGTGGGGGGTTTGTTGGTTTTTTTTGCTTGTTTTTCCTTTGTTTTGCGTATTTATGAAGATAGCAAGGAATGAATGTGCATTTCTGTCCTGTTTGTCAAGAAAATTTGCTCCACCACAGAAGGCAACACAGTCAGTGATGAGTTCTGGCATGGATGTAACGTTTGGGCTTTTGCAGAGAACGAGACTATTATGACAAAGCCCTGAAGTCTGTCACGTAGATATGTCCCGCTTGTATGTGGTGCTGTTCCCACACCTTTTGGTTTTGAATCATTTCTAGAATGTGCGGTCGCATCTTCTGCTACTACTGCTGCAACAACTACATGGTGACAAAGCCTGGTGGAAAAAAGGAGCGTTGCTGCAGGACTTGCTTTACTAAGCCTAGGGTCTTCGTGGACAGTACAGATGACTCTGGATCTAGTGCCACCCAGGAAGGATCACCGGCTTCTTTGGAATCACCCACGTCGCCATCCAAGAGGGCTTTTGGTTAGTGCGTTGTTTGCGTGGTGTGGAGAAATAAGTAGGCTGCCTAGACATCCTCTGAGAAACCACATGGTCACCTCCTGCTCTGAGGACAAGCATGTTCACAGAGTGTTTTCAGGGTGGGATCGATCCCGTCTTTCCACTTGATTGATATGGACAGAAATTTTCACGAGTAATAAGTATCAGTCAGCCTGAGGTTTCCAGTTGATTCTAGCCGTTCTCTAAGGTTTCTGTAAATGTTTAAATTTAATTAAATTTAAATTTTAAAAGACTGGGAGCGGCCCAGTCTTTCCCCTTAAGGGTTTGCTTGTTTGTTTACTGGACAACCAGCTAATATTTATGTTCGTTTTCATGACACAGTTGCAAGCGACACCTCGAAACCACCAGATGATGCTGCCTTTGATATAATCACCGATGAGGAACTTTGTCAAGTACAGGAATCGGAATCTCTCCATAATGAAAGCCAAATGGAGAGAGACTCTCTGGATCAAAGTGTGACAGATTTGTGAGTGAACACTGCTTCAGGGAGAGGGCAAGCTTTGGGGTCTTGTTTGGAGGGTTGGGTCAGTCTTTTCTCCATTCAGTGGGGATGACCAACCTCTACACAAAGAGAAGATGCTTCTGTTCCCAGCCACACGTTCAGTAAAGCAGCACAAAATAATCTTTGTGTATTTGTACAATCAGCATCAAATCTAGTCAACCTAAACAGCTCCATCCTGTCTCTCCAACTGCTTGACCACAGCCCAGAGAAGTAGAGCTCCACAGTGCTCTTGTGAAGTTTGTACTGCCTTTGTTTTGCAACGGGACAGTTTGCAGTGGGGGGATCCTTTAGTTTAAGGAAGGGAAAAGAGTGTCACGTAACACTACTTTGAATTCATGCTATCTGCAGAGGGGATATCACAGGCAAGTTATGGAGAATGCAACCGGGAGAGGAGAAAAAAAAAAGTGTGGCACTGTTAATTTTTTTCAGTTTGATTGGGCTAGGTTTCATCTTGTCCCAGAAAGTGTTCAAGCTGGAAGAAAAGATTGCCACAGACGATGGGATGCTATTCTTGAAGGGCTCCATGCAACATCCTGCTTGCACCACATAAACTTTTAAAGGCTGCTTTATATCTGCCCTTGGCAGATTATAGGCAGGAGAGACAGGAAGTAGTGTTTTGTCCTCTCTCACTCTTGACTCGTCAGTTTTACAAGCAGAGATGACATGTATGGTCATTCTCTGAGCTGGAGTCCTAAGCTGGAGTCAGTTTTGTGACTAGAATGCGCAAAATAAGAATTCTAGGGTTTGGCATCATGACTATCAAAATGTTTCTGGTTTAGGAAGGCATCAGCATGCAGATCGTATTTGACCACATACTGCTCGCACAATCATGGCTTTCCTTTTTTTCCTTGCCCTAGAAACAGCATGTGTAATTCTTCAACCTTTGATGAATCAGAAGAGTGGCAAGTTGCTCAAGATGCTGAGATATGCTTGTTGAAGTCGGGAGAAATCATGTAAGCAGAACGATTTCATTGTTACCAGACTGAAAGAACGGATGCTGAGCTCAGATACCAGCTCTGTGAGCTCAAGTCTTGCAGAAATAGCAAGGGCAAGCCGGGGGGCACTGTTCTAGTCAGACCTTTGCCACAGAGAGGGAGCTTGAGGCCCTTTGGAGCACGTGCCTATTATTTCTTGGTAGCCCCTACCGCCTGCCTCACGGAAACTGCCTTGCCTGCTCTGGTTGATGCATGCCACAGCATAAAGTGTTCAGCTGAGCCTCTTCTCAGCCTCTGTGAACTGTGTGCACGCAATTCCCTGCATGTATCGTGCTCAGAAATGAACAGATACGTGCCGTAGTGATGCAGCTTGTCACTTGCCCGGCCAGGAAGGGAATCTTAATGCCTGAAAATGCCCATGACTTGGAGAAATTCCCCTTTGCTTGCTCTCCCCTTAAGCCTAGGTTTGAAATTTTGGCTTAGCTATGGGTAAGGCTTGAAACTACCCTGAGCTCATTGCTTGAGAAACAGTTTATCTGGCCTGAAGAGTGATTTGTTAGTTCAGCTTTAGCTCGGGTAACGTAGGTGAGATCCCAGCTCTTGGGATTTACAGGTTCCCCTTGAAGAAAGCGAGCCGCATTCTCTTGTTTAAGGCCCTCCCTATTTGCACTCTGAAATAGCTGTCAGCATGAGGCAGGTAAGCATAATGCTTCATGTCTCAGGATCACCTGGGTGCTAAGATCTTCCTTTTTAACTGGAAGTACTTCGAGTCAGCTTCTATGCAGCTTGCTTGAGGAAAGCAGAGCACGCTGTAGCATGAGATGCTTGAGAGGATGTAGGCAGAGCTGCCCTTCGCATTCCACCATCTGTCCCCTCTGTACTCCTGTTTGTTATTTCCTGTACAAATGCTATCGAGAGATGTCAGTAAAGTAGGTCATTTTTGTTTAAAAAGGGCAGTAGGGGACAGCAGAGTACTTTTTTTGATCGTAGTAACTCTCAGAAAGCCTCACTGGAGCACTAGAATTTTTCTAGTCCAAAAGAAGTAAGTGAATAAAATCAAAATCATGTTTGCCAGAGCAGTGCAAGTGCTTGGTATCAAGTCATCTTTTCTCTGGTTAGTGCTTTCATTCAAGGCAGAATTTTCCTGCATCTTGGGGACCTGTCCCAAAGTTTCTGCGGAGTCTACTTCAAATAGATAAAAAGTAGAAAGCGATGACTGTTGTTTCTATCTGAGTAATTAGACTGGATCTCTTCAAGGAATTGCATTTTTCTCCCTCACAGGATCAAATTACCCCTTACCGTGGACGAGATCTTAAATTTTGGGGAAAGTAACAGAGAGCTGTTCATTAAATCCAGCACCTACAGTGTCATTCCCATCACTGTTAGAGAGACGGGGCTTACAATTAGCTGGATCTTTTCATCAGAGCCTAAAAGCATCTCCTTCAGCGTCGTCTACCAAGAATCAGAAGACACGCCGCTGGCTGAGTGCAAAGTAAGGCCTTTGTTTCCTTCCTGCCTGAGAGACTGCAGTGCACTATGATCAGCCCCTGAGAGGAACTGGCAAATACAGCTAGAAGGTCTCCACAGGAGTGCCTGTGGCTGTTGTGTCAAGGACTTGTTTCTCCAATTGAGCTCCAGTTCTCCTGAAAGCAGAACTATGCCTTTAGTTATTTAATATTCCCTGCAGAAGTTGAGTAGAAAAGCACTCTAGTTTCTGGTTGGCCACATCTGAAATTCACCCACCACTCTTAAGCAAAAATCAAAGTCCAAATCTGCAGAGTTCTTCTTTTCCTTTTTTACCCCCTCCTCAACATCACTTAATTTGTCAGCTGCTTTGGGCTGGCTTTGCCAGGCTCTTAAGCAGGGGCCACAAGGCGACACAGACATCGAATGGGGTACCTGCATTCCTTGCAGTAAAGCATCTATCAAAGTGCCTTGATGGCATGCAAAATCACACTGCCAGAGCCCGAGGTACCAGTTTTTATTTGTGCTGTCCCTGTTTTTTTGAGAATTGTGGATTAAATGAATCTACCTTACTCAGCTCATTGCAAAGCTTTCATGAAGACAAGGCAGCTGCTGGTCTTACCAGCTTACCCTAAGGCTGCAGTTTCACTGGGGAAATAAGATACTTAGCATGCATTAATTCACTTCAGGGCAACTCACCCCATGTAAAATCTCCTTTTTTTTATTCTTCAACTCAATGAAGAGTGAATGTCGCTTCCATTTTGATATATCTATTGGATATAACTTTGGGTTTTATAGGGTCATCCTTGATATACGTCAGCTGCTGTTCTGCCAACTCTCTCTGCTAGGGTTTTACAGTAAGGTTACCCACAGTTTCGGTGTAAACTTAGACGAACAATTAAGACTTGCTCGGGAAGCTTATTTGATAATACGCAGAATCACAGACTTACCTAGATCACAAAAGACCTTGAAGATCATCAAGTCCGATCATTAACCTAACACTGGCAAGTCTTTGACTAAGCTACATCCCTAACGGGGAGTATAAAAGCATGTATTAAAAGATGTGTTTAGCTAAAGCCTGCCCTTGGACATATATGTATAAATCTAATACGTTAGCAAACTTGCTTAGATTAGGATTAAAAAGATGAGGACTTGATTCTGCCTCTAAAGCAGAGATTTCTAGCCACAGCTTAACACTGTGAAGAGTTTGTCACGGGCAAACAGATGTCTCGCTGGGAGACTGTACTTTGGGTGAATTTCTAATGTGAATCACTGGAAATAAATAGGTTTGTAAGCACGCGTGTGCTTTAGGAGTTTGGAGATGGCTGAAGTCTAAATATTTGTCTGAAGGCAAGTGTCAATTTTTAGGGCAAGTAGCAAGTTTCAGTTGGGTTTTCTTGTTGAATTTCAGGTTCTCATTCCTATGACCCGCTGCAACTCTCATAAAGAAACTATCAGAGGACAGGTCAAAGTCAGAAACGCTGGAATCTACACACTGATATTTGACAACACATTTTCCAGGTGAGTGTAAAAGGTGGAGTGAGTGTGGGTTTACAGGTGGTGAAACTGATTGGGTGCACCGTTATTCTGCCATTCAGAAGTAGGTGGGAGAGACTGGTCCCGGCGGATTTGCCTGAGTTTTGGTTCTTGTTGGGTTTTTTTGTTTTCCCTGTAGCAGAATTCTGTCTTAACCTCTGAGCAGGACCCACGTCATTTGTGACTCTTTCCAATGCAGTTTAAGCAGGGCTGTCATCGTTTCCCAACAGACCTGACAGCCCTTGCAAATGCATGCTTCTTTATAACACCAGTGGGGTTTTTCTTTTTGTTTTTTTTTTCCTGAGTAGAAACAGAAAGATTGGATACTCTTTTAAGGCTTCCTGTCTACCTGGCTTCAACTAATGTGATCATCTTGCTCTCTTCTGTTTCTCAACAGGTTTGTCTCAAAAAGAGTGTTTTATCACCTGGCTGTCGAGCGACCTGTCATCTATGACGGAAGCGATTTTCCATAGCCTTGAATCTGCTGTGTTAATTAAATTTCTGAGCGATGCTATTATTTATGTCCATGGAAGCATTATGATTACCACTGTGTTTGAAGACTTTGAAACTATGCAATAGCTATAATGCACTTAAAGAACATGTCTACTCTAAAAAACAGAAGCCTTTTTAGGAACACTAATGGTTCTGTACTGTGTACAGATTGCTCAAAAGCCATGTCCTTCGATTTAACAGATTCCAACCAAATGTTTTTTCAGTGGGGAGAAAAATAATTGGAGGGTGTCTAAATTATCTACTGAAAGTTGAATTATTTTTTTTCCAAAAAACCCTTGGAAAGGAAATGTAAAGAAAAATGTGTATTTTTCTTGACCTTTTCACTGAGGAGTTAACTTAAACATTTCTATTCTCTCTAATGTTCTTACACTCAGAACAACTGCTATGCAATACTTCGATCTTCACAGGCATATATTGTTATCCCTCTAGAATTTTTTATCTTCCCAGGTTTTATAAGCAGCAAACATAAGCAGTTTTTACATTTTGGGCTACAGTTTTCTAAGTCTTAACTGGCTTTTACAAGTGCTTTGGTACTGAATACCAAACAACCAGTACAACACGAAGCAACACCTCCTTCGCTTTTGCTCCCTGTACTCTGTAAGTTGGTCCAGTGAAACTGGCTCTCGTGGTCCAGTCCCAGTGGCAGAAGCAGGAGGACCCTTTGCCGAATCGAGTACTGCTTGCTGGGCAGCTCGAGGAAGAGGAGCATTCCTGTTTCCTCCTGTAGCACCTTAGTCATCAGCTGGCTGTAAACACTGCCTTTTAAGGAAGACTGAGCTCCTATTTTTACAAAATTTCCATGCTTTCCATATAGACTCTCAACTTTTTGTCAAAATGCCTGAAAACAGATTTTTTCTTTTGGAAAAAAAAAAAAAGCCTATCTTCTGCTGGAAAGGCAGAACATTTTTGGCGGGATAAAGGACAAAAGCTCTTTCTGCCAACCAGCCCTCCTCATCACCATTTTAGATGTGTCTGATTTCTAACGTTCCTATTACTGCTGCCGTGGGAGGTGGGAGCCGCTTCCCTGCTGCTCCGGAGGGAAGAGGCTGCAACGCCTGTACCCCGTTAGCTGCATGAAAATGAGAAGGACAAGAGACTGAAGTTTTCAATAAACATGCAATAAGCAGTGCACAGATCAGTTCACGAATCACGGCGTATTTCAGTGTTGAAGCTACGTTTTATTATTTAATTAGGTAAGAAGAGATTATTTATTGCTTAAAACGGGGGTACTGTGCACCACATGCTGTGCAGTTTCACTGAGCTGTTACTGCGATCTGCTGCAATGTTCCCTTATTCTTTTAGGTGTGGTTTTTAAAAGCATTTTGCTGTTGTTTTATTTGGAATGCTAATCTTGCTAGGTTATCTTTCTTACAATGCCAAATATAAGGTAAAGGGACACTGTCAAGTATCTTAGGCCAGGCTATGACAAGAGTTGTCAGAAGTATTTGAAATATCTCCATTCAAAATTATTTATCAGACTTGCCTCTGGATTTTTTTCTCTGCATCTCCGTTCTTAGCATTTTTTTCATCCTGTGGCAAATACTTTTTTAAGTCAGCATTTATGTAACTCCTAAAGTAACTGGCTCCATGTGGTAAGCCAGGTGTTTCCCTACCAGGCTTCCATGTAGACAGTCCTGAGGCTGGCTGAAGCATGTGCTTGGGAGAGCGAAACACCCAGTTGTTTTTTGAGTCTGGAACCTTTTGTCAGGTTTTCCTGCCCCACGAGAGTAGTTTTATGGCTTTTTGGTCTCTGAAAGAGAACTAAGAGTGGGAGCCAGAACCTGTAGCAAAGAAAAGGTTTGGTTCTAACCAAGGAGAGTATTTAGGCAGGAGAAAAAGTTTCAAAAGAGGACATGCTGAAGCTGGTAAGGTACAGACAGTGGGCAGGAGTGCAGCTGTTCCCGTCAGCTGTTCAAGAATGGGAATCCCATTGTGCCAGCTAGAAGAGAGGGAGTCCTTTATACCTCCAAGACTGTGCAGAGAAAACAGTAAAGATCCTGTCATTCCTACCAACCTTTTGTTTGAATTTCCCAAGCAGTTTATTACTGGAGCCAGAGAATCCCAATAAAGGGCTTGGCACAAGCGTAGGTTTGTGCAAGAGCTTATTTCATTCACGCACCTTATATATCTATCCATAAAGCACTCGTTCATGTGAGCTGTGCCAGCGACACGGATGAATCTGTTTATTTACAGGTACTCAGGTAACTTGTTGAATTGGGCCTTTTATTACCTGCAGCAATACAACTGTGAGGAAACAAATCTTTAAAATCAATCATGAAATTAATTTACGGAGATGTCGCCCTCCTGGCCCAAAGAGCATACGTTGTGGTTGGTGTAAGCAATTGGAGGTTATTTCTGGGTGCTGGAACAACAGAGCGTGATAGGTTTTGTTAGGCAGAGGTTTATGCGAAGGAAAGAACATAGCTGCTTTAAGAAATTGGCAGTGCTCCTTTACTCAGCATTACTCGGTGTTGTGTTATGAAAAATCACTGAGAGATCTTGCACAGGAGTGTACCACGTTACAAAATAGCAAAGCTACGAAAGCCTGACTTTGCTCCTTTTTTAAAATTGAAATTGCACTAGTTTTAATTATGCTCAATCACCGAGATTGCAACTTGTTCAGAAGCGTGTTTTGGTCGTAACTGCCAACGATTTGCAAACCCTGTTCCCATCTCCATAGAGGAGAAAGAGATTTGTGTATACCAGCATCTGTACAGTTACAGAGATGTAGACGGTTGTGTGCTGGAATGTTTCTTGATGCTTTTTTTTCCCCTCCTTTTTTAACCTCAGGAATTAAAAAAAAATAAATAATTCTATGTCGCTGAGACTGTGAATCCCTTTTCTGCCTTGCAGAGCTGTCTTTGTCTGGAAGATGAATCAGGTGATTGTATGATCTCCTTTAAAGGAGGAAAAAATTTTACAATACCTCCTCCTTTCCTTGGTGCCAAGGGGCAAGTCTTTCCCAGCCTAAGCGCCGTGAGACAGTGGTGTTCTCTCCATTAGTCCTTGAACTGTCACAGGGATGCTTTAAGGTTTAAATACAAGGTTTAAAAATAAGGCTTGGGAGGCCTGGAAAAATCAGACAGCACCTGCAGCCACTGGGACTACAGCGTGTGATTGGTTAAGTGATGGATAATCAATCCAGGTTGTACTTGGGAGCGGTGGGTTTGCACATGCCAAGTCCAGGTTCTGGTGTTGGAACGACTGCGACTGGGCTGGTCCCTCGGTTCCACCTCGGCAAAGTGGTGGGGAGCAGCCTGACTCAGAACAAGATGAAGGTGACCCGGGGGAGACCATGCTGCCCTGAGCTGCTGAAGGTTCATCGCCGTTTCACCACAGTTTCACTCACCGATCAAGCATGAAAATTTCCCACCTCGTTTGTGGAGCAAAGAAGCTTTTACCTTCCCCAAGAAGGCCACGAAGTTCAAGTTCATGGGACTGGTGGGATGCTGAGGAAAGTGATGTTGGTCATGGTGATGATCTTCAGTGACTTCTGCTTTTGGGATCTTTTGGCTTGCAGGAGGGGCTTGATGATAAGAGCGTAACAGACAACCATGACGAGGAGTGGGAGGAAGAATCCTATTGTGACTTTCGAAGCCAGGACAGTAGCTCTGAAGATCATGCTGACGTTTGGCAGGTGCGTAATTTTGCAAACTGCTACGTTACCCACCTGCATGCTTTGGCTGTACACAATTTCTGGGACGCACAGGTTCACAGATGTGAGCCAGACAGCCAAGCACATGAGCTTGCTGCGCAGCAGCTGCCTTCGCTTCAGAGTTTTAGCTTTCATCGCCTGGACAATAGTGATGTACCTGTCAAAGCTGATGCAGGTTAGAAACAAGCTGCAGCCATAGAAGTTGATCTTGTACATACTGTTGATGACCTTGCACATGAAGCTCTTGAAAATCCAGCCGTCAGGGGCAGCCTTGGCCCGGAAGGGGAGGGTGAAGAAGAGGACCAGGTTGGCAATGGCCAGGTGCAGCAGGTACCGATCCATCATGCTCCTCCTGAAGCAGCATTTACAGCAGACAAGCACCACCAAGGCATTTCCCACCGTGCCCACAGAGAAGATGAGCCAGAAGAACACTGGTAGGAGGGCTCTTGCGAACGGCCTGACCTGCCTCTTGTCACACGTGAATGTGTCGTTCACCAGGTTTCCATACAGGGACAGCGCCGTGCTGTCGTTCCTGTAGTCATCTGGGCTGGCCTTCATAGCGTGGGTGACCTGCAGTGGGACATCAGGTACGTTTGTGTTGAGTGGTGGCTCAGTAAAGCATCAATTTGCCCCTCTAGACTAGAAGCAGTTGAAGATCCCCAGTCTATTCCCTTTCAGATGGCTGCCAGTGAAACAGCGCATTTCAGACTGCTTAAAGCATGCGCACAGCAGAGACTCACAAAAATGACCCCGAGTAAGAAACTCTTTACAAAAGAGCAGTTCACCACCTCCAGTCAACTTCAGTTATTAATCTGGCATTATCTCTGTCAGATCATTTGAAACGCTGTCGGCTTGGCAGCTTCAAATCCGTAACAGAACGCAAAATCCCCAGCTTTGGGCAGAGGTGGGGAAAAAAGTTTTGTGTCACTGCTGTGGTGGGACAGCACCTTTGGCTCAAGAGAGCCAGAAAACCGATGGGAGCAAAGAGGGGGCAAAGAAAAAGGGGGATTACACAGAGGTGTGGCTGTGTACTCACCACACTTGGAACTGCCATCTTCAGCCAGACCTTTACTCAGTCTGGAAGGAGGAAAAATGGGGGGAAAACATGGATTTGAAACAGCTTTGAAGCAGAACTGTGACCCTTTTCTTTCTTCTTTTAAGAAAAACCTCAACCCTTTGTAAGGAGTCTGGCTTTGAGACAGACCACATAGAAATTGATGTCCCTGGTTTGAGCTATTCAGCTGTTTCCATTCTACAAATCTACATTTAGCCTACATTAGGGCTTCAGCTTCTATACAACACTGTGCTATTTAAGTCCTTTGGCATACTAGAGTCACTGCAATACCATTTTTAACAAGACGTAGACCCCCCAGCATGCACGTTAAAAAAGACAGCAACCTGAAAGCACCGTATCTCCCTCAAAATTCGTGAGAATAAATGAAATGTCTCTCTTCAATCATCTAGCAGCTAACAGGGAAAAGTGCCTGCCTTTAGTGGCAGTTTGCAGGGTTAAAATATTTGCATCCTCTGCAGTGGCTGATAATCTCTGTCTGCAACCTCTCTTCCCAGTGAGTTTAAGCACAACGCTCCTTGCTGCTGACCTGCAGAGCAGATCCTTACACTCAGGCAAACAAGAAAATACTTTTATCCTGCTGCAGATTGCTTTTCAAGCCAGAGTCTAGGCACAGAGTGTTTGCTTAAAAATGGACTGAAGAAATAAACCCAGTCATAAACACGCACTCTTAGCTTTTAATTTTTCTACAGAGCCACAGAACTACACACGGAATTGCGCTACTCCCTGGAGTTTCAAGTACAAATATAAATTGAGTACTGTACGCTACGCACAGTAGTTGAATTTCTGATGCACGGAATTCAAACTCCATTTTTATTTGGCTTCTTTACAAAGCAGACAAGCAGAGAAAATATACGGCCAAAGCATACTAATGTGACAGCATAGTGCAGAATTTATACCAGTAAAAATATGCAAGGAGATGGAAAGAAACTACCTGTGTAATACCTATAAATCAGACATACCACGAGCTACTGATTTCTCCTCCGTATTCATTTCCAAAATGTCACTGCAGCATCCGTCAGTGCAGAGCATCCCCAGTGGCTTTTTTCTGTTATTTCCTTTTTGCAGTCGGACCTACTTTAAATTCTGTTTGAAAAAGACCCCTGTAACTGGGCGAGTTCAATGGCAAATGAACTAGTTAAAAAAGAAGCAAAAGACAACTCTGTTTCCTTTCGCCGGAGGCTGCCTGTGGGCCGGACAGACCTGAGTAGCAGAGGATGGGACTCACCAGGACAGCGGCTGCAGGGGGGTCAGCTTGACGTCGTGCCCCACTGTCACACCACCGCACGCGGCGTTTGCTCTTTGCAAAGCCTTGGGGCTGTTGGAGGCTGAGGTGGGTGTGTGCTCCCTGGTCTAATTAGACCTGTCACAGGCCGTTTTCTCTGTGGTTTGCATGGTTTAGGTGGCTCAAACACAGATGGCAATCTTCTGGTTTGCTTTTTCCTTCTTCCTTTGTTTTATTTTCCTGGCCAGCTCTTTCTCTAGCAAAAGGAAGAACCTCTCATACCATCACGTTTCTGCTTATGTGCACCATCTACCAGAGGGCAAATCAGAGGCTGTTCCCAGCGTGGCCGTGTCCTGCTGGAAAACACTTTATCTGGTGGAAAAAAAAAAAATCCCTGAACAAGAAACGGGGATCCACCAGTTTCCGCTGGGGAGGCTGGGAGGGGAATGAGGAGTCGAGTCTCGTCCTGTGTGCTCCAAGCTCCCCATGGCTGCCCACCAAGGCTGCAACAAAGCAGAGTCTGTGTGATGCCCTGCAATACTGGGTGCTTTGCAAGGAACAGCAAAATGAAAGTACGTCACCTCCAAAGGGAAAGGCCAGGCTGTTCCTGAAAACCAGGGAGACGTGGGTCTGGAACACAGGCACTCACATAAAGTCCCTGTTGGTGGCACGTCTTAGGTGACAACCATCTGGAACAGTGTGGCAGAAAAGGTTTTGAAGAAAAAAGCAATGCGAAGTGCTTAATAAATACCAGAACTTGCACATCTGATGTCTTCTTCCTGGCAAGCTGGCATGTAAATGACAGGGGGTTAAGTTCCCTTCTCTGCACCGGTGGGGTTTTGCTTAGATGTCGGTGGCGTTCAGCTGCAACTGGTGCTCATTTCACCCCATGCTTCGAGAAAATTTCCAAATCACATTCATACTCAATTCTGACGATGGAGAAAGTGATGATTTGGGCTAGGTTTTGGGCTGGGCACAGGGTCACCTGGCAGTGGACCCATGCTAATTACCCCTAATCCAAGTCAGCTTGGCCCCTGGCACGATGGCACGATGTGAGGCGACGCACCCTCACTCGGTGCTGCCCGCGGTTAATTCATTTCGAGCCAAACCAAGGTCACCGAGGTCAGCTCTCACGACACCAGCGCATGTGCTCTGAGGCAACCTGTGCCTTCCCTCCCGTGCGCATCTTCACAAAAGCAAGAACCTCTGTTTCCCTTTACAAATACATCGCTCGCTGAGAGAATCTGGAAGCATAATGCCATTTTTGGAGAGTGGGTTAAAGTGGGGAAATGAAACCCACCGGCATTCCATCCATCTTTCTTCTTAACTTGGGGGTATTTTAACTTTTAAGCAGGGCTTGGGGACAACGTTTGATGGCGGGGACATGCTCAGCTGGACGCGCTCCTAAAAGGAGCACAAAACCTGGGGTCACGCCCTCTCCCTCGCCTCAC